GGGCAGATCATATGACTTAAGAAATTTATCTATGCCTTCACTATCTTCTAATTTATTGGAGTATAAGGATTCAAAATAGTTTTTGATTATCTTCTGTATTTGTGAAGTGTCTGTTGTGATATTGCCTTTTTCATCCCATATGCTAGTAATTTGAGTTCTCTCTCTTCTCTTCGCTAGCATCGCTAAGGGTCTGTCGATTTTGTTTATTTTTTCAAAGAACCAACTTTTAGTTTTGTCAATTTTTTAAATTGTTACTTTTGTTTAGATTTCATTAATTTCAGCTCTGATTTTAATTATTTCTTGCCTTCTACTTCTTTTGCTGTTGTTTTGCTCTTCTTTTTCAAGGATTTTGAGATGAAGTATGAGATCATTTATTTGTTGGTTTTTTCTTTTTTTAAGGAATGAACTCCAAGCAATGAATTTTCCTCTTAGAACTGCTTTCAATGTGTCCCATAGATTCCGATATGTTGTGTCTGTGTTTTCATTTATCTCTAAGAATTTTTTAATTTCCTCCTTGATGTCTTCTATAACCCATTGATCATTCAGTAACCTATTGTTCATTCTCCAAGTGATGTATGCTTTTTCCTTCTTTCTTTTATCGTTGATTTTCAGTTTCATTCCATTATGATCAGATAAGATGCATGGTATTATCTCTACTCCTTTATATTGTCTAAGAGTTGCCCTGTGACATAATATATGATCTATTTTTGAGAAGGATCCATGTGCTGCTGAGAAAAAAGTGTAACTGCTTGATGTTGGGTGGTATACTCTATATATGTCAATTAGGTCTAGGTTATTAATAGTGTTATTGAGTTCTATAGTTTCCTTATTCAACTTTTGTTTGGAAGATCTGTCCAGTGGCGAGAGAGGTGTGTTGAAGTCTCCCATCATTATGGTATGGTGGTCTATTAGACTCTTGAACTTGAGAAGAGTTTGTTTGACGAACATAGCTGCACCATTGTTTGGGGCATATATATTTATGATTGTTATGTCTTGTTGGTGTATGGTTCCCTTGAGCAGTATGTAGTGTCCCTCTTTATCCCTTTTGATTAACTTGGGCTTGAAATCTATTTTATTTGATATGAGTACGGACACACCTGCTTGTTTCCAAAGTCCATATGAGTGATATGATTTTTCCCAACCTTTCACCTTCAGCCTATGTATGTCTTTTCCTATCAAATGTGTCTCCTGTAGGCAGCATATTGTTGGGTCTTGTTTTGTGATCCATTCTACTAGCTTGAGTCTCTTAATTGGTGAGTTTAAGCCATTAACATTTAGGGTTATTATTGAGATATGGGTTGTTCTTCCAGCCATATTTGTTTATTTCTGTTACTAAACATGGTTTGTTTTCCTCTTTGATTATTTCCCCCCCCTTTACTGTCCTACCTCCCACTGTTGGTTTTCATTGTTATTTTCCATTTCCTCTTCCTGTAATGCTTTGGCGAGGATGTTTTGAAGAGATGGTTTTCTAGCTGCGAATTCTTTAAACTTTTGTTTATCGTGGAAGGTTTTAATTTCATCTTCCATCCTGAAGCTTAATTTCCCTGGATACACAATTCTTGGTTGGAACCCATTTTCATTCAGTGTTTGAAATATGTTATTCCAGGATCTTCTAGCTTTCAGAGTCTGTGTTGAAAGATCAGCTGTTATCCTGATTGGCTTACCCCTAAATGTAATCTGCTTCCTTTCTCTTGTAGCTTTTAAAATTCTCTCCTTATTCTGTATGTTGGGCATCTTCATTATAATGTGTCTAGGTGTGGATCTCTTACGATTTTGCACATTCGGCGTCCTGTAGGCTTCTAGGATTTGGGATTCTGTCTCATTCTTCAAGTCTGGGAAGTTTTCTTGTATTATTTCATTGAATAGACTTCTCATTCCTTTGGTTTGGAGCTCTGTACCTTCCTGTTTCCCAATGACTCTTAAGTTTGGTCTCTTAATGTTATCCCATATTTCTTGGATGTTCTGCTCATGGTTTCTTAACAGTCTTGCTGAGCTGTCTATGTTCTTTTCAAGTTGAAATACTTTGTCTTCATTGTCTGATGTTCTATCTTCTAAGTGTTCTACTCTGCTGGTAGTATTCTCCATTGAGTTTTTAAGTTGGTTTATTGCTTCCTGCATTTCTAGGATTTCTGTTTGTTTGTTTTTTATAACCTCTATCTCCCTGTATAGTTGATCCTTTGCTTCCTGGATTTGTTTGCGTAATTCATTGTTGAAGTGATCTTTCATTGTCTGATTTTGCTCTTTAATGTCTTCCTTGATACTCCAGATCATCTGAAGCATGTATATCCTGAATTCTTTATCTGACATTCCATCTGCTGCAGCTGTTACCTCTTCTAAAGTTGCGTTGACCTGCATTGCTTTTGGTCCTTTCTTTCCTTGTCTTTTCATACTGCTTGCGTATCTTTCCTGCAGGCGCGGGCGGCGGCTCTGCTCTCTCCTTATTCCAATTGGGGTGTCGTGGCTACCATGCCGGCAATTCACTGGGCCTGTTCTGGGTGCTTGCGGCGGCTCTGTTCTGCCCCTACTCCAATTGGGGTGACGAGTGTACCACGCCGGCAGGCCACCGGGCCTGATCCACCGGTCAGTTGCAGGTTTGCCTACCCTGCAGGCACGGGCGGCGGCTCTACTCTGCCCCTACTCCAAATGGGGTGACGTGTCTGTCGTACCGGCAGGCCACTGGGCCTGTCCCGCTGGTCGGTCACAGATCTGCCCACCTTTCGGGCACGGGTGGTGGCTCTGCTCTGCCCCTACTCCAATTGGGGTGTCATGACTACCCCGCCTGCAGGACGCTGGACCTGTTCCTGGCACGGGCGGTGACTCTGCTCTGCCCCTACTCCAATTAGGGTGGTGTGTGTACCACGCCGGCAGGCTCCTGGGCCTGATCCGCCGGTCTGTGGCAGGTCTGCCTACCTTGGAGGCGCGGGCGGCGGATCTGCCCTGCCCCTCCTACCACGCCTGCAGACCCCTGGGCCTGATCTGCAGGTTGGTCACAGGTCTGCTCACCCTGCGGGCACGGGTGGCGGTTCCGCTCCGCCCCCACTCCAATTGGGGTCACGTGGCCACCACACCAGCAGGGCCTGATCCGGGCGTGGGAGAAGGATCTGCTCTGCCCCTATTCCAGTTGGGGTGACATGTGTACCACACTGGCAGGCCACTGGGCCTGACCCGCCAGGCTGTCACAGGTCTGTTTACCTTGCACGCGCGAACAGCGGCTCTGCCCTGCCCCTCCTACCACGCCCATGTACCACTGGGTCGCGGGTCTGCCCACCTTGCGGGTGCGGGTGGCGGCTCCGCTCCGCCCCCTCTCCAATTGGGGTCACGCGGTCCCCACGCTGGCGAGCCGCTGGGCCTGCTCCGGGCGCTGGCGGCGGCCCGGCTCCTCCCCTCTGGCTCGACGACAAATTGAGGAGACTCGGGTGTCTGTGCCTCACCCCCCCTACCAGGAGACCAACTGTTTCTGTCGCCGCTGGTATTGATGAAGTTCTCTCCTCCGCCGCTTTCTGATGACATCAGATCTCTGCCATGTTGGTATCCTATGCGAATGGCAGCATTTCGTTCCCCTTGCCGGGCAACCAAAGCAACGGGTGAGTCCTGACCAGCCCTCAGCAGGACCTGGACCGAGAAGCAGTTTCCGCGGGCTCCTAGCCCCGGGCCGGGGAAGTTCCGGGAGCCGGAACTCAGCCGTTCCGTGCTCGGTGTAAGCTCCTATAAGAGTAGGCTCCAAGAAGCAGTCCCCGCGGGCTCAGTTCCGGGAGCCGGAATTCGGCCGCTTAGTGCTTGGTGTATGCTCTGATAGGAGCAGGGTCCAAGAAGCAGCCTCCACAGGCTCCGCAGCCCTGGGCCAGGGCGGTTCCGGGAGCCGGAACTCGGCAGCCCCGCGCTCGGTGTTCACTCCGATAAGATCAGGTTCTAACAAGCACCCAGGCACTGAACCCTAGCAATCTGTCTGCAAGCCGCAGGCGAATGGCAGCCTGAAATTACCTGTTCTATGGCTGAATGAGCTGCGGTCAGTCGAAAACAGGGATGGTGACGTCAGCTTTCCAACATGGTGGCTGCTGGCCTCCTCTGTGGTCTGACCGGTGTGGAGAACCGAGATGGACCGCTTCCTTCCCCCGTCTCGAACCCAGAATTCAGCCCTGAGTACGGTGCTTGCATGGCTGGCAGAAACTGCAGCGCTATATTCCTGCGTCGCTGTCTCCTCGTTTCCCAGCGCGCGCTGCAGACTCTAGCCGCGGGGCGATTTGCTGAATAAGCAGTGTTACCCTCCGTGCGACAAACCTCTCGCGTTTGAGTCCCCGTAGCCGATCCTCGTGCGATGGAAATCCTTCCTCCAGGTTCCGGAGCACCCCACTATTGCTGGAAATTCCTAACAAGATAGCCTTTAGCCATCCTGACTTGTCATACTCCCACACAGTGAAGCAGCACACGGGGGCAATGCACTCCCCTCGCCACCATCTTCCCTCTTAATTTCTCATTTAAATTGAAAATATTAAAAACTTTTATTTTTGGGATCACCGAAAAATCCAAAAGCACTGCATCAGAAAATGAGCTAGGAAAAAACACTTGAATATTTCACAACGGAATGTGTTCCAAAATGATTCTATCACTATGTTTTCAAATATAATCGATGAAAATCAATGTACTTATAAATCACATTTTGAGAAATCACAAATTAATATCAATCTATTAAGTTGTAAATATTTTTGTTGTTGTTTGTTTTTCAGTACTAGGGATTGAACCACGAGGTGCTCTAACACTAAGCTAAAACCCCAGCCTTTTTATTTATTTTTTTCTTTCATTTTGAGACAGGTTTTTGCTAAGTTGCCCAGGATGGTCTTAAACTTGCCATCTTCCTTCCTTAGCCTCCCTGGGAGCTGGGATTACAGACATGTGCCACCCTGGCCACCTAATATTATAAATACTGTAAGATTTATAAAATTGGAGCACCAATAATGCTTCTCTATATTAAACATTAAAATAGTGCCATTTTGGTTTTTTAGGTGAATCTTTTCTTCCTATTAAATATTGTACGTGTTCTCATCACCAAGTTAAAAGTTACACACCAGGCAGAGTCCAATCTCTACATGAAAGCTGTGAGAGCTACTCTTATCCTGGTGCCATTACTTGGCATTGAATTTGTTCTTATTCCTTGGAGACCTGAAGGAAGGATTGCTGAGGAAGTATTTGACTACATCATTCACATCCTTATGCACTTCCAGGTATGTCATTCAACATCAGTAAGCAGCTTGAGAAATTTGTTGTTAAATTTGAATATAGCTTTGGTTTCATTGTTGACTGCTAATGGGTCAAGTTAGTTATAAATACATGTATCTTTTTCATTGGGATTCAAATAGAGTTCTATTTTTCTCCTACAGGGTCTTTTGGTCTCTACAATTTTCTGCTTTTTCAATGGAGAGGTATGTCAGTTGATTTTATTCCTGTTGTCCTTTGATATGTATTTGCCTTAAAAATAAGATATAATTATAACTTCCCTAAGAATAATTATTTCAAATTCCATTTCTATCAGAGAAAAGAGCTGTAATATTTATTATTGTAAGTGAAAACTTCCTCCTCAAGTCATATTGGAAAAAAAGTCAACCACACTTTAAAATACTTCATCAGTGACTTTTATTCATCTAGTTTTCTGACCTACCAATATATCCTATTAATTCTGGACTTTGCCTCAGGTATCTCAGGTATGATGCGAGGTGATACTTGACTTCATGGAAGATGGACTATAACAAGAGAGAGAATCCTTTTTTTTTTGCCATTCCCCGCCCTCACACCCTGACCTATTTCACAGTGTAGCTTTTGGAAAAAGCTTTACAGTGGATACAAAAAGATGAAAACAAACTAAACTCTCAGTTGTACAAGGGCAAGGTGCAGTGGTTGGGACATTTAGAATAGAATTCTGTAATTGCTATAATCCATAACATGGCAATGTATTCTGAATACTTCTAGATTTTTATCTATGGCTTTCTTACTTGGGGGTTTGAGAATTTAAAATCTGGTACTCTATTACATACATATGGATATTGTTGTAACTCAGTGGTTCCAGCTTTAGTTTTTCATATGTTTCTAATCTACTTGACAAATTTTAACCTGTAGGATTTTGGCAAACTCAAGTACACTTTAGAAATCCAGATAGTAAGTGAATGAGAAGTGGACAGTTGGTAACTGGGAAGCTATCATAAAGCTTCATATGGGGAACCAGATGGCATTAACCTTATGAGAATCAGTCCTAAAACACAAATCAGCATTGGAAATCATGGTACATGTCATAGAAAACCATGAAATATTGTTTTGCCTGGCTTAAATAATATTTTATGTCTATTTCTTGGCAAATAATTCAATTCATTGCTTATAGATTAAAATTAAAATATATTGTAATTTCAAAATATACATGTTTAGTGTGTATATCTATATTACTAATATTGGTATGTGGAATATCAGCACATATTAAGTGCTTATTTCCATGATTCTGACACACTGAAAACAAGATGTTGCTATTTTTTCAAAGTCAATGAGAAGTATGGATGGAACACTATTAGGATAAACAGATACATGATTTGTTTTGAAAATGAAATTCATAAAGTCTTTGTTATGTACCTCTGTAAATATACTAGAGTACACATGGAGCTAGACAGTCCTCTATGCTGTCAATATAGGATGTAACATTTAGATAGAGATGAGAATGATCTGTACACATGCCAAAGAATGTGCATGAAACACAAAAGGTCTACCTCTATTCCTACAGAAGCAGAATTTATTTTTATAATGTGTAATTTTTAAATAATCACTAGCAAAATATTTGGTGATAGGAGACAACATAGAATAAACACAATGATGCATTAAAAACCCGATGGCTGCTATATTTTGGGAAATGCTCCGAATTTGGGAGTAGGTGTTTAATCTTTATTAAAGGGAAGTAAAAACAAGTTCTTTCTACATTAATTTCACAAGGATTAATGTAAACTAGGGCATGTAAAGATTTTTGTGCAATGTTCCACCATCACTAAATCCTTAGCATATTATAGATCCCTTAAAAGGTTTGTTAAACAACTTATTTTCAAAAATACATGTACAAATGGCAACATTAATCATATTGGAATCAGAATCTCAGATTGGCTCTTTTATTTAGAAAGGGTGCCCAGAGAATATCAAAACTAATGCTCCACACTCCTGTTACACTTTATCTGTATAAGCAAAAGAGACACAGGCCCTTGATCTTCTGCCATATCCTAAAATTGAGAACATTTTGGCATTGGAAAATTATAATAATAATAAGCCTGTGAACCAGGTTCTTGCCAAATCCTTTGGTTCTTCACAACATCTCTAATATCTGTCCCTTTTTCTTTATCTCTGGAGATACAATCCCTGTTTGAGTATGATTCATCTCTCATCTTAAGAAATACTATAATCCCTCCTTTTTATCTCCTTGCCTCTAAGTTTTTCCCACTTTCATAACATGAAGAAATAGTGCCAAATCCACTTTGTCTGGTTCCAACTATGTCATGTTCTTAAAACCAATCTACTCAGGCTTAGTTTCCTTCTTGCTTTCCACATTAGGTCCAGTGGCTTGCCTTTAGACTAAAATTGTTGGCTTTTTTTTTCTTCCACGTTTTATTTATTTTTAGCCAACATCTTCCTATTGGTATTTCTCAATAGTTAAACAACAGTGGCTTTACAAGTGCTCTGACCTCTTTCCTCTCATCCCTAGTCTACACAGACAAAAATGTGCACTATTAAAGTGAATGAGAGACTGGCCATCAGAAGGATATATTTAACAACAATGGAAGGTAGATTTTTTTTTAAAGTGAACAAAAATATTTTCTGAGAACAACTGAACTCACATTTTATAATGATAACAAGTAGATTTCTGTGTGAAGCTCTATTAAAATTTTTAACTGATTTAGATTAAGGAGCAGAGACTTAGATCCTTATCAGATATTAACAAGCATATAAGGTTGTGATGTTATATTCTACATATTTGACTAAATTACTTGCATGATGCTAATAAATAAAACAACAAAAACATACTCAAATCTTTAATAACACTTCATTTAAGTTTATGAAGTGGCCACTTTAATGTTCTGTTGAGCCAGTGTGATCTTATATTAGAGGAAGCAGATAAAAATGTAACATCCTAATAGAGAATAATATAAACAAACAGAAGACTGCAAGGCTTCTAATTAGATTTATTTTTAACTTCAGTAAATAAGAACCCATACTTCAGGACACTGACCTTCCATGGTTTTTGTGATAATTTAGTTGCAAAGAAGAAATAGAAGGATGGCCTTTATCAAATATATTTCAAGGCAAAACATGAAAATATTTCAAAAACTATCTTGTCTTTTAGAATTGAATTTAAGCTTTGCTTTTGGGGGCTTGCAGCTAATATGTTTCTTGTGATCAGCTTCTCAAATTTATGTAGAATCTTTTCTGCAAAAGTGTGCTCTACTTTCTTTCCACCTGAAGCTATATTTCTGTATTCAGTCAGTCCAACAATAGCAGTAAAGTGAGGAGGAATTTATTACATATAAAAAGAATCATAATAAAAATAATTTTATCTGTTATGGGTTAGATATGAAGCGTCCCCCAAAAGCTCATATGTTAAACAATTCTAGAACTTTCAGAAGTTGACTGATGGGTTATGAGAGTCTTAATCTAATCAGTGCATTAATCCAGTTGGATGAATTTATTGGGTGGAAACCATTGGGTGTGGCTCTGGGATATATATTTTGTCCTTGGTGAGCCCAGTATGCTGTCTCTCTGCTTCCTGATACCATGTCCTAAGCTGATTTCATATACCACACCCTTCTGCCATGATATGCTGCCTTACCTTGCATCCAAAGCAATGGACTGAGATCTCTCAAACCATGAACTTTTCCTCATATACATTGATCTTCTCAGGCCTTTTGGTTAGAGCAGAGAAAAAATTTGACTAAAACATCATCAGAAGTATTTAGAGAGTCAAAATTATTATTTTTTTTGTTTCAAATCTGTTTATTTATCTAAAATTCATAATCTAAAACTATTGCTGCATCCTGCACACCAAGGGATCAGTAAACTGAATGGAGATGTGAACTGGCTGAGAAATTAAAAGTCTGAAATAATTAATAAGAATTAAAAGACAAAAGATATAGAAAAATAGTTTCATGGCAGGGACCCAGTGGATGGAATAGGCTCTCAGTCTGTTCCCTAACAATAAGTGGGGTTCCTTGGGCTTTATTTATAGGGAAGCACATCAAAGAAATTTATTGTGAGAAAAAGATTTTTGAGGTAAATAAGAAGAAAAAGGGTATGGGGACCAATTGGCCTGAATGGAGACTTATCACTTGTGCATTAATTGAAGAATTAAATAATTCCTGCCTCCTCCAGGCAACTAGCCACTCGAGGATATTTGGGCGCTCTGGTACCTCTTTCCACCTCCAGGGAGTTTTATATGAACCTAGGGCTGTCTGAACCAATACATTCTGCAGTATCTCAGAATTCTTTTTGAGCAGGAGTTGTTAAGGCAAGTCTAAGTGGTCTGAGATCGGTGAGATGACACTGAGAGTTCTCCAAGGGGCATACCTCTGCTTACACATGGCTCAGAGAAGCCCACAGTTCATTCATAAACTATTCCATTTGTCATTTGATTATATTCTTGAAGATATTAAATATATAGATATTATTTTTAAAATTTCTTGATTCAAATTTTTCTTTGGAGGATTTAGAATGACTAAACCAAGAGCAAAGTATCATTGTTTTTTGCAAGACAAAAGCATTTATTGTCTAAAAATGCTTGTATTTTCAAAGCACATTTACCTGAAAATAAATTATTTCCTCAGTTTTGTTTATCATATAGAAAGAAATGAGCTTGAAAGTCTTCGTTACTGAACTTTGTAATAACATAACTTTGAAACCCAAGTTACAGCATTTGACTTATAATTTCTAAATCACAGAAGTTAAATGGAAATTTTAATAACTCATTTTGAATTCTAACTATAGAAATCGTTCACTCTGAATTTGATGCTTCCTTTTTATTTTCTACATTCTAAAACATAAAGAAACAAAATGTGTTCATTTTAAGTGACAGAATACAGGAGACTTTAACAGGACTTTGAAGATATACTGGCAATCCCTATTTGTTACAGAATGTAATTTTGAGAAGGAAATACAATGAAATACATTTATAAAGATTTAATAATGATCTGCATATAAGAATATAGTCAATAGAAAGTTGAGGAACTATATATAAGGAGGGTATAAAGAAAATTGAAACAGTTACTGAATAAGTATGTTAACAGTATATGAATTACTGGAAAATTATTTTAATATGCTCAGAGTTCCTTTGAGGAAATAATCACAGGCTTAAAGACCTGTAGAGAGTTTGGAGAAGACCAAACAATGCACACTTAAGGTAAAAGTACATAGGGACAGAAGGATTGGGCTACTAACCTTGAAGCAGGATACCCCAAGCCAATCTACACACATATCAGTCCTGGAATGTCCAGTTTATCAAGTTCAAGGTGTATTTCAATATTCTTATTTGGACCCACTGACTTAATATGAGGAATACCAGCCACACTTGGTGATGGACACTTATAATCCCAGAGACTCAGAAGGCTAAAGCAGGAGAATAGCAAGATCAAGGCCAGCCTTAGCAACTTACTGAGAATCTGTCTCAAAATAATAAATAAAAAAGAACTGTGGATGTAGTTCAGTATTAGAGTGCCCCTAGGTTCAATCCCAGTACCAAATACACACACACACACACACACACACACACACACACACACATACACTTTTAGGGTCTTAATGTAAACTAAAACACAAAATCACTGTATGTGACTCATCTAGACTCAATCTCTAGCTCAAATCAGAAAATAAATGTCACTAAATTAAAAATTCACTCATGGAAAGGAGGTTCCAAATACACAGAAGTGCAGAAGTAAAATTCCTAAACCTTTTTCAAAGTATTCATCCCATTTACAACTATCTGTTCAATACTTTTCATTCTTCTAGGAAGTAAGCTCCATGTGAAATGAATACCCTGCTCTTTCATTTTCAGATTGTAGCCCAATTTCTGGCATATGGTAATCATTAAATAAAAGATTGCTATTTTTTATATTTATTATATCTTATGTTTTATTTGATGGCAATAAATATGTAACAATTATTAATAATTCAAAGACAAGGCATGAAATAAAAATATTAGAGAAGTATTAAAATGTAATAACAATGTTTCTTAATGTCAACACAATTTACTTAATTTTTAATTAAATAAGAAAATGAAGCAATATTATTCAGTAACATCAATGTTTTTTCAAGAACAACTTTTCTACAACTTATTTTGCTATGTTTTAAATATAATATCTTCACTTCAATTAATGGATTTCTCTTGTTTCTTTTTGATTGATAGGTTCAAGCAATTCTGAGAAGAAACTGGAATCAATACAAAATCCAATTTGGAAACAGCTTTTCCCACTCAGATGCTCTCCGTAGTGCATCCTACACAGTGTCCACAATCAGTGATAGTCATGAATGTCCTAGTGAACACTTAAATGGAAAAAGCATCCATGATATTGAAAATGTTGTCTTGAAACCAGAAAAATTAAGTGATATAGTTATATGAAAATAGAGGCATCATTGCCTGCTTCATGCCAATCTTAACTCAAGGATTTGGACCTGTGATTTTACAGCAGAAGACTTCAATATTAAATGAATTTCTCTAATGCTATAAAGACAGCCTTCAACTTAAAGGAGAATTGTGTTGATAAATTTTTGACAACTAGCTCTATGTGGGGAAGAAGGCCCTGATTTATAAAGTTTGCCAGTAAATACTCTGACTTTGGCAGATTTCAAACTACCAACTTGACATCACTGAATGTGGTATTGGGAAAAATGATAAGCACGGTCGACTCTCATGAGCTGATGTGGGTCAGCTGCAGCACATCACTGCAAGAACTGACAGATGAGTAAGACCAAAGGTTCACATACACATTGGGTATAACATTACTCTCATCACCTAAGGAGACCTAGCTAAGTTTTCCACACTTTGAAGAGAAAGTTAGTTTTTACGTGTTGGCTGTTTAAAATCTTAATCCCAGTGTCACAGGTGCAGTTGATTTTTGCTTACCCAGAAAGCATTCTAACCCTTTTTTGTAATACCTTTTCAAATGGACCAGACAGAGTTAATTATCCCTGTTGGCTTACCCTCTTCTCCCTAAGAACAGTAACAGAGTTTCTATGAGCTATTCATTTGCTGATACATCACGATTATATCCTATGGCATGTGCTTTTTTGAGACTTAGTGAACAGGCTGCATGATATGTGATCCTACTTCTGTATCATTAGGGAGACATCCTGGTTAATGCTATAAAACAATTAGCAGCTACTTCCTGCTTTGCTATAGGAGTGGGAGGGAATCAGTTTCCCTGAATCTGTAAATAGAAATCTTTGCCCCTTCCATTTCTACTGTGTAGACAAATTAGCAATCATTTTAGATGAAGGAAATCAATGAAGGATTTCTTATTATCTTGGAAGTTTGTAAAAAAAAAAAAAAAAAAAGGATTGTTGTGAAAAATGAGCTTGTAAATACTCCAGTATTTTATTTTATAGTCTCAAATACCCACTACCTAGGTAATTTTTTTTAAAAGTAGATACATAATGCAACAATGTATACATGTTAATATCTGATACTGTGTCTGGGCTGACTTTATAATAAAATAGAGTCTGGTATTCTATATTTGGTAAATATTTTAAGGACAACCAGATGCCAGCATCAGAAGTTTGAGAGCAAAAAATAAAACAGAAACATCTATGGTAAATATAAAATATTTATTTTAAAAATGAAAGGCCATTATCTTATTGATATATGAGTTTTTGTAATTCATACCCTAGTGGGTGTGCTTGACATATTTTCCTTCCATTTGGATGATGAATTCACATTATAATCTAGAAATTTTCAACAACTACTATAATAAATGCCAATTTACTCTCTGTATGGGTTTTACCACATTAAAATACTATTTTACTGACTTATACTATATGATTAAATATGGGTTTGGAAATGTCCCAGATTATTAAAGAGAAGAAACTAGAGGAAGATACATATCACAATGTTTTATTAGGGAACAATTGTCAGACATTTTTTCAATAATTAAATTAAGATGGTAGGAAAACTTGCTAATGAATTAAACTGACATTTAAATTGGATTCAGTTTTTCTAATGTTATTTTCACTGGAATCTCCAAAGAACAACAATGACTTCAATTAGTGAACATCAATTTTAGGACAAGTTTTTATGTGGTGTGTTTTTTAAGTTTGTCAGCTTTAGATGGATTGAAATAATGATCTATTCATCATAAGTTGTTTCTTAAGCCATCAATAATGTTGAGTTCTGAAGTCATTTGAAATTGTCAAGGAAAATTCTCTAAATTAGTAAGAATTTACATATTAAATGGTCTGGTAAATGCATTTATAATTTATCTATGCATGTAAAGGTATCATTAAGTTAGTTTCAAATTTACAAATTTCATAGCAAGCTATTATAAAAAGGAACACAGGCTGTTCTGAACTTTCAACTGCCTAAATTATACAAAATTTCCACTTAATAAATTCAATTTTAGCTATTTATTGTCAAAGACACAGATTCATGTCTTTTGCAGACAGTGTCCATGTATTTCAGCATTCTTCTAGACAATCTGTCAGTTTCAATCATACATGGCAGTAGAAATGTTGAATTGTCAGAGAGCATGTTAAAATGATATTGTAATTTTGAAGTATTTTTATTGTGCTTTGATCTTATTTAGTGCGGATGAGATTGAGATTTCTTTTATTGCCAAGGTTCATCTGATATACAGTGCTCAGATGTACCAATCTGTGATTAATCAGTATTAGTTTTATACTCAAATATTTTAAGATTAATATTTTTAAACAATAGATTTCTCTAAAGATGAACTGCTAATTAAGATCTTTGTATCTTACTTGTAAAGAAAAATGATTCTGATATTTTTAAGAAGAAAACTTCTTTGGTATCTAAAAACTAATTTGTGAATTTCTTGCTTTTAAAACACAGATCTGACATTTTCCTGCAATTGTGAAAGTCATATTTTAATTTTCTAAAAATTCTATTTTGTCATTTTTTTCAAAAGTTGTTTTCTAGTGAATTCATTACAAAACATCCATTCTGAAATTTATTGTTTGTTCAAATGTAACCTAATGAACATGGAATTTCTGGTTGTAGTGCTATATGTATTGATCATAAATTTTAATGTGAATTTATTTTAATTTTCTCTTGGTTTTAATCTGCTAATAGAAACATTATCTGTAAAAATATTCAAGGTATTATGATCAAATAAAACAACTCATGTTATACCTACTTAAAATGTCTCTGTCTTGACTTTATGAAAATATTAAAGTTACCGGTTAAAGTTGACTTTCACTCATATATAATGGAGTGCTAAATAATTCAATTTCTAAAAATAAATTTTAGAGTGACCAATGGAATACTTCTTAAAATCAATAGATATATCTCTTTTACACTCCTTAAGGTCTTCAATAAATTCACTAGTAAGTGAATTTAATAAACCAATTCAGAAAAAGTTATGAATTTATTCTCAAGTTAAGAAAATACAAATGAACTATAATTTATACAAATTCTTTCTTATGCCCATAGGAAGGGGAAAGATGCCCAAAATAGGAAAATGTGTTGGAAATTGTCTCCTTTCTCCACTATATTCCACTATGTGGTTTTGTATTTAACACTAGAAAAGAAGAAAAATAATTATTAAAAGATTTTTTTAAAATAAGAAGGCATAGTCATAATTTTCACAAATGGAAAAAATGTATGAGGACTTTTGTTTAACTCACTAATAAATGATGAAACCAGTAACAAGTTACAATCTTTTGAAGGACAATTGAAATTATCATATATATTTGAGAATTTTTAAAATTCTGCAGTGAATTTATAAATAAATGCAAAACTGCTCTATTAGTTGCTTTTTACTGAATAATTTCTATTTCTGTGATCAAGAGTAATATACATTTTTATCAGTTTTATGCAATTAACATATTGGTAAAATAGCTCAAAATAATCAAAGGTAGGTATAACTCAGGAGGGCACACCAGTAAGCATTAGAAAAAACACTGTAATAACTCATATATAAGTAAATAAATAATAAATTGTGGGTCATCTAATAGCTCTGAATTTAATTTGTGTGTGTGAGTGTGTGTGTGTGTGTGCGTGTGTGCGCGCATGCGCGTGCACTTGAAGGTGGGGAGATTAAATACATATATATCCATTTCAAAGATTTTTGAATTTTTTCTTATAATTTTTCCTTTTTTGTATTTATAATAGTTTCAAACAAACAATATTCTTGATTCAAACTACTGCTAATTTGATAGGAGTTGACTTGCTTATTTACATGGCTAAGTGGGAGTGTTAATGATAACATAGACATTCTAAGTTTGTTTCATAAATCTAAAACTTTACTGCATTTTTTAACAGCTTCATTGAGATACAGGTCACTAACCACATAACTCATCTACATAGTTATTAGTGTATTAGTAAATTTTAGTATATTCACAGATACATGTTGCCACCACCAAAATTTCATTGGATTTTTATGAACTTGAGAAAAATATATATTTTTTAATCTACTCCTCATCTGTTCCCCCTTCCCTGCTCCTAAATCAGTCCTATGCACCATTAATCTATTTTCTGCCTCAATAGATTTCCCTACTCTAGAAATTCATACTAATGAAACCATATCATATATTATCTTTTTGACAGACTTCTTTTGACAGACTTTTTCCAGCATCCATATATGTTTTTGCAACTATATCTTATTTTTATGTCTGAATTATTATTTTATTTTATGTCTGAATATTATTTCACTTATGGCTATGCCATATTTTATTTATCCATTTGTTTGTTGATTTGTGTTGTTTCCAATTTTTGGTTATTAGCAATAATGCTGTTATAAATATTTATGTTAAAATTTTACTTTGGACATGAATTTTTATTGCTCTTAAGCATATATCTAGGAGTAACTGCCAGACTGTTTTCTCATACAGCTGGACAATTTTATATCCCCACCAGCAGTGTGGATCACAGCAGGACTTTGATTATTTGACATGCTTCCCAAAACTTTTTATTACCTATCTGTTTAATATATGTGAAGTGGTGTCCTGTAGTTTTAATTTTTATCTTCCTCTATGGTTAAATTTTTGGAGCATCTTTTGATGTGTTTATTGGCCATTTGTATATTTTCTTTGTCTAGTCAAATAATGAAGAAGACATGTCTATTCAAACACTTGTGCATTTTTAATCAGGCTATCTTTTTATTACTAAATTGTAGATTTTTAATATATATGACTGATACAGATCCTTCTTCTGCTAAATTCCTCATCTCTCATTTTTGTGGTTTATTTGTCACTTTCTTTACTATGTCCTTTGTATCACAAAAGTTTACAATTTCTATGAAGTACAATCTATTTGTTGATATTGTATCTAAAAGTCTTCTCCCAAACTCAAGGTTCCTGCAATTTCTTCTAAGGGATTTATAGACTGCATTTTCAGTTAAGTCATTGGTCCATTTTGAGTTATTAATATATACTATGGTTGATGTTCTTTTTTTTTCTTTTAAAGGTAACTTCTAAAATACCATATCATATAGTTACAAAGGGAACCATTTAACATCATAATATCAAAAACTGAAGAAAAAAAATCTGAAAACA